TACTAGATACAGCATCATACAGGATATAGGATACAGGATACAGAATACTAGATACAGCATCATACAGTATATAGGATACAGAATACTAGATACATCATCATACAGGATATAGGATTCTGTATACAGAATCCTAGATACAGCTTCATATAGGATATAGGATACAGGATACAGAATACTAGATACAGCATCATACAGGATATAGGATACAGAATACTAGATACATCATCATACAGGATATAGGATTCTGTATACAGAATACTAGATACAGCATCATACAGGATATAGGATACAGGATACAGAATACTAGATACAGCATCATACAGGATACAGGATACAGGATACAGAATACTAGATACAGCTTCATACAGGATACAGGATACAGGATACAGGATTCAGGATACAGAATACTAGATACAGCATCATCAGGATACAGAATACTAGATACAGCATCATACACGATACAGGATTCTGTATACAGAATACAGAATACTAGATACAGGATACAGGATTCTGTATACAGAATACAGAATACTAGATACAGGATTTGATATGATTCAGTTTTTTCCTACAAAGCTTACCACTATCCTCTTAAAGAGGTTTAGGATTCAGCATTTTTACATATATTAAAAACTACTTTTTTTAACGGTTTCATTCTTTATTTAAATTATCGTATATACAGAATATTTTATACTAAATATTTAGTACTGAATATAAGGTTAAAAATATTCCTTTTAGCACCCCCTACCCCCCTCCTCCCTTCCCCATCCAGAACCAGAGTCAATCCACTGGAGAGAAGATTCAACCTGTTCCACCAGGTAGGAGGTACGAACGGAGGAGGCTCATTAACACAATTAACATAATTACAAATGATATAATTAGAGATATATAATAACAAAACATTGAAGTTACAAAAAATATAAGTTACACAAGAAAGACAAATGTTATAAAATTTATAAAATGTTCAAATTAGCTCATATTCCATTTATTTAAACACAAAAATAGTTCAAATGCACCGAAAATAGTTCAACTGTGGTTCAGTTGAACTAATTTTATGTTCATTGGAGCTCCTAGCTGAAGCGCTCGGCCTCATAGCCTGTCCTAGCAGCGGCGCTAGGCCCAGAAAATGTCTTAACCTGACCTAACCCCGAAATTGAAATAATGCATATACGTTTGAATGGTTGCGGCTAGGACAGGCTATGGGACCGAGCGCTGCGGCTAGGAGTTCAAATGAACATAAAAATATTTCAACTGAACCACATTTGATCTGGTGCATTTGAACTACTTTTGTGTTTGAATACAATGGAATATGAGCTAATCAGAACATTTTATATATTTTGTAACATACATTGTGTAATTTTATCTTTTGTAACATATATATTTGTGTAACTTATATCTTATGTAATTTATATCTTATGTAATTTATATCTTAAGTAATTTATATCTTATTTAACCTATATCATTTCATGTAATTACAGTTTTATTATTATTGTCCGAAGCTCGGACAACGGCTGTCCGCTTGCGAAAGGATAAACATGTAAAAACGACCGTTTGTTTGGTTCGTTTATCCAGATCTGAGATATAGTATGAGAGTATAACAATTTAATAGTTTTCGGAAATAAAGTCCTGAATTTTTGAATTAAAATGTCCTGTGGAAAAAACTTAAAATAAAAAGATTTTTGAATTAAAATGTTATACATTAATGTCCCCGGAAAACTCAGGACTTTACTCCAATAACATTTTGTCCGAACTTCAGAAAATTAAGATTTATTTCCAGTTTTCATTTTTAGAAGCTTTTTTTCCTGTAAAGTAGGATAATTATCAATATTTTATCAGGCATACTTCTACAGAATAATCCCTTATTATGGATCCATAAAAAAAGATTATTCTGAAAAGGGAAAATTTATTTTGTTTAACACTCTAGTCATTCAATTGAATACCTTCGTTGGAGTTTTATTATAGGTTCAAGGGCTATTATGCTTGATACATACAGGGTGTCCCGAGAAACATGACAGCAGCAAGACGACTTGTAGGTCAGCTTTGATTTTTGATATAGTTTGCTACATTTATTCGTCAACCCAATTTTTAGAAGTAACTCGAGTTATGAAGAACTACTTTCAAATTCGGACATTTTTCTTTTATTTAACAAATTTCAAATCTGAACAAAATTCTTAATACAGGGTGTCCCACGAAACATGACAGTTGGTGAATAGTTTTGAATGTCTTCTTCCATATACTGTATTAGATTTTAAAAGACTTTTTGCAGTTTCTTTCGATAAAAAAAGCTTACGTAAATTTTACTTTAACATTTTTATTATTCTGTTTGGTATCAAACAACGTAACAAATTATGGAAGAAGACATATTCACCAACTTTCATGTCTCGTGGGACACACTGTATCTCCAGTAATATTGACAGCACAAAAAATGCAGACCACATTTTTGAAATGCCAGGACTAGGAGATTTTTATGGTTATTGTTTCGAAAACATACATGTTAAAGTAGGTTGACGACTGAATGTCACAAATAATTCAAAGATAAAAGATGACTTTTAAATCATCTTGCTACTGTCATGTTTCGTAGGACACCTGGCAGTTGTTGTTAAAGGTTGAAAGGCACTGATGTTGTTATAAAGCAAATAACTGAAATAGTGACTTATTAACTGGGAAAAATGGGTCTGTTTACACTGCACAATTTCTGTGTTCCTTGAACTGTTAAAAGTCATAACTTTAGTTCTTCTTCCTTTTTCAGAGTTTTCTGGTTCTCACTGTACTTACCTATACACTTGTATAGAGTCTTAGGAAACCAGACCATTGTGTCATTCTGTAGAGAACACTTCACATGTTGTTCTAGAATATACAATACTAAAGGGACTGTAAGCGTAACTTCATGTGACCCCCACCCCCCATGCAAAAATGGCAATGTCCGATTCACAACAGTGCAGTGCCCTTAAAAGCTTTGTCCAATGAGGTAGGAATTATATAAACATGTTTTTGTTTCTTTATGCTGTATGGTTACATTTTATGCTTATGAAAGTAAGAGAGAAATTATCAGAATTAAACATTTTTTGAGTCAGAAAAAACCGTTAAGATCTTTTATATCCACCTAATAAAAACACTTACTTTCCCTAACGAAGTGAAACCTTTTTAAAATTCGATAAGATTTTTGGGTAGATTGAACAATGATTTTTTAAAAAAATGGGGCTAGGGGAGACTGAATAAAATCTTACCTATTTTCCTTGCTTGGTCAAACAAGACATCCCAGGGAGAATCAGCTTGGTACAAAGCATCAGGAGGGAAATCTACATAACCTCCATGAGGACAACGATAGACTACGTAATCTCCCAACCTTCTTCTTTTCTCAATCCAGATAACCTCCATTCCATGGTGAGGAGATACAGGTGAACCCAAGCACTGTCGCTCTAAATAAGAAAACTCCATGTTTTTAAAAGTAAAATGTAAAATTTCCGTTGTTACTTTTTCAAAATTAATTATTTTAAAGATTTTTAAATACAATCTTTAGAAATACAGAGGGATCACTTGAAGTTAAAAGATTCTGCTATGGATATCAAGGTAAAGCTCTGTAGATACACGGTCAAACAAAGACATGGGAATTTTGTGAATTTATAAGGGAATATTTTTTTTTAAGTTCGAGCCTTTTGAACTGTGCAATATTTACTGTTATTTTAAACTCTGAAGATATTGAACATTTTGTGTATGAACATTACAAACAGAGAGAACACCCCTTTAAAATTCCTAGGAAATAATGCTTTTTATTTTATGTATAATATTTGCATGATCAAACTCAGATCTTAGACAAGTCAGAAGTTGTCTCTTGATTCCCTTCTTGATGGCTTTAATTTTCTTAAATTAATATTAATGAAATTAAAAGGGAGATTAAGCAAAAATAAATGGCTCAAATCTCACCTATACATCCTAGAGGTTTATCTGGCATACTCCATTGACCATTTTTCAAGCATTTGTTGAACCAAAATGGATATTCTCCTGACTCAAACATATATCCTTTGGGGCAAGTATACCTACATAAAGCTTATCATGTTAAAGTTGAAGTTAAAATTAGTTTACACATTTTTGGTTATGTTATGTGATGTCCAAAGAATATATTCTTCAAGCTTAATTCTATTAATGAACAAAACAAAGCCCACTCAAAGAAAAACAAGTTTTACTTAGTTTCTGTTATTCCATAAACTCGGTGTCCTCCAAGATGTGCAGGTGGTGGCTGATCAGGACATTCCAGTTCTATATGAGTCAAAATTAATTATTACATGCTTTTAATTAGTTTAAAGTATGTCAAATTTGAGAAGTACCTGTGCATTCTTCAATTTCAGTTATATTCCATATTCCATCATGGTTGCACATTGCCCAGGCTTCCTGCAGTCCTGTGGATGGAAATCCCCAGTTAGTTTTGTTGCACCAATATTTGATTAGAGTGGCATACGGTCTAGCATTTCCAGACACCTCCGTCCAGTTCATCAAAGTAATGCCGGTGTTGCTTACAAGGTGTGGTGGTTCTGTGCAGTTTTTAGCTAAAGTTTTCAGTTTATTTTATAAGTGCCTTTCTAATAATTAATCATTTTTAATACTTACAAATACAGGGAAGTATGTTTGGATGATGGTTTAAATTTGATTTGTTTAGATCTATTCTCCAAAAACCATCGGCATCACAAAAAACATTAAACTTAAATTTATCTGAAGCTTGTTCATCAAATTCTCCAGGATAATCTGCAACAAATCCAATAGGACAGGAGTAAGTTACATTACTTTTGTATGAATTCCATTCAGTTGGGTCTAACTTCTTCCGAGCATCAAAATCACTTTTTGATTCTACTGTTCCCTTTGGAGGAAGGGGAAGATCTTCCTCTTTGCATTTCACAGCTAAATAGTCCGATATTGAAATCTTAAAATTATTGAACATTTTTAACCTTACCAGTGCAATACTTGGAAGCATTGAATGAACCTTCAGTATTCCATGTTCCATTACTACATTGTAAACTGAGAGTTATATTGTTTGAGTTATCAAATATGAAACCTTCTGGACATGTAAAGTTTACAATTTCTCCATCAAGTGCGATTGAGTAGATTGCATGTAAATCTGCTCTACTACTTGCCACAACTATAGAGATGTTGTCAGTTGTGTTGGTAGCATCAAATTTCCAATGGGGTTGATGCTGTCTCCTTCTTGTGGCATTTATAAGATAAAAAGATTCATTGCCTTGCACAAAATCAACTGCAAACCAACTAGCCATGTAGTTTACACTTTTTAACTTGTCTTCACTTGTTGTGTATTTTCCAAACTCAGGAATAGGTGGGGGTGCCATGCAAAACGATTTTTCTTTTTCATGGGGGCATTCATCTTGACAAAGATCCCACTTGACAATATTTTGGTTTTGATCAATTTCTGCAAAAATATGAAATGTACTAAAATTAACTCAAATTCGTAGTTTTTACCTGTAGGACACCAAGGGGCCAAAATATCCTCCATCGAACAATTTTCATACTTGACTCCTTTGTATGTGAAGGGAAAGATGCATGGAAATCCATCTTGAGCCACACATACCTTATGCTTGCAAAGAGTATGAAGAGTTTCATCCTTTTTGACTGCTCCCCTCAATCCAGTTTGAGTGAGAGAAGGGCATTCCTAAAAGTGTTCACTTTATTTGGATTGTCAGTATGTTTGTGATATATCATTATCTTAAACTATTTAAAACTATTATTCCCGTGGGATATTCAGCTTCAATCAACAGAACAGTTGCTAAGACCCCTACCCCCCCCCCCTTCCCCAATCAAAAGTTAAAAAGGTTAAGCCACATCCTGAAAAAAAAAATCTGCAAACCTCCTAGCTGAAAATGTGTTTTAATCTCAACCAGTTGGTTACTTGCCATTTTTATGGTTTTAATAATTTAAAAATAATTATTTTGCATTAATTCATTTAAATCCAATATTTACAGATGGAATATGGAATATTAGAAAACAGTTTACTACCAACAAAAAATTGTATTTAATGTAAGATTTCTATTCTACATGAATAATATCAATAAAAGAAAAAAACAGTCTATTTGGGATTATTTCTAAAATTCATATTTTTATAAGCTGCAGCTTAAATTGTAAAGAAAAATATTTACCATTTGAGTTTGTATGTTTGGTAGAGTACTGTTGATCCATACAAACCTAGATTAAATTATTGATATATCTAGCATTGTTCAGCATGATTTTAGATTAAAATTAAATACTTACTTTTCAGGACCCAAAATATTGTCTAGAAACTCCAATTCAAAGCTCAATTGTTTTGATACTTCAGCATTCATTGAACAGTCTTGCTTATCACATTCAGAAGCACCTACAAAAAATAGCATGCACTATAATAACAATAAAACAAATGACTTCAGACGTATCATTAAGGAAACACACATCTTTTTTTGGATTTACATTTTCAAATTATATTACCATCTCCTTTGTCAAAGTATTGAAATTGCATGGATATAATTAGCAATGACCTTTTGATAATTGGTAACAAGTTCGTCCATCTTGGGAAGGTAAGTATGGCATGAAATTGACTGGACAAAGTGGCTCTAAAATAATAAATAGAGATAAACTGGTTATAATAAAAATATTTGTCTGGCTATCTTACCTTTCCATAAGCAATAAGAGTCAAACAATTGATTGCAATCTCCACCAACAGGCTTGAAGTCATTTGATTGCTCCAGATAAACACACTCATTATAATTCAGATTAGGGAACTCACCTTTAAAGTCAAATGAATTGGCAAGGTACTCAGTGTGATCTGTCAATTCTATTCTATTGTTTTTGTTTTTCATTCCTATTAATATGTTCTCTACACCACTTGCTACTGCATGCAATTTAATGAATTCATAAAGTCCCAGAGTCTTTATGGGCAATACAATACTCCCCACAACAGAGCAATTTAATTTTATCTCTTTGTATGATGTTAAACTACTAAGTTTTGACAAGCACATGTTCTTGTAACTGAAGTAGTTTTCAGGACAAATATCAACTGAATTTGGGTTGGTTGAACAAAAGTAGTGCTTGGCTGTATCACAATCATCATTTCTGATTTTCCTAAAACAAAAATTGTGGGTTTTCAAAACTTTTCAAAACTTGTTGAAAATTTACATTTTATCTGAATGGAGCATTGAAGCACAATAATTGTTGATGGCAGGAAATCCAAACATCCAATTTATTTCTTGTACTTCAAAGCCACTGCTGTCTTTCCAGATTTTTCCCAATGGGTGAGCTAGGTTAAATATGTTAGTTAAATACTGTGCAAAAGATTAATGATGTCAAACTTTAAAATACCTGACATAGAATCGAGCCCTAACCAAAATTCTGTGATATTTGATTTTGCTGCATAAACTGAAAGCATCTCTTGAACTAAATAATTATGGGGATAAGCAAGCTTAGAAACAACCCCTTGACCTTCTGTCAAGCAAGTAAGTTCTGCCATTGAATAATTCAGGGGGTGGGTAGATAGTTTATAACATTGATCAAGGATTGGAAAGAATCCTTTAGGACACCATGCAGCCCTTGGGTGGTCTTTTTCAATATAGCAATCACTCATCACATGATAAATCTGTGCAGGTTTTAGATAATTTGGAAATATTTGAAAGCAAGACATTTTCCCATGAAAGTTGTTTGCTCCATCAAAATTTTGAAATTTTTGCGAGCCAATTCTTAGTGAATTCTCAAGTGCTGATGCAGGAAACCAATTTTCACTGCTGATCTGGAAATTCAGGTTTTCATTTTTTAAGAATCCATATGTCTCATTGATGTAAAATGTTCCCACATTCTTCTTTCTATCCAGTGTAAAGGCAACAAATGTCCAATATTTCTCTCTGAGAACTGAGTGAGATTGAAAAGAAAGACAGTCACTTTTTTTACAAAGGTTGACAGTAAGTAATTTATCTTGAATTAAAAAAGTCAGACTTTCTAAAGCATTCAATTCCATAAAGTCTACCAAGACTGGATTACCATCTCCAAAAGTCTTAACCTTGATCCAAATTGAGATAGTAACACCATGTTTTATTTCTGTTAAGTTAGGTTGCTCTACATCAATGAAAGATTTGATATCACCCAGAAAATAAGCCGACTGTCCAAGTTGTGTTTGATGAATTGTTTGAGTATGATATGCAACTAAAGAGATGTTAAAATGTTGCTGAGATAATCCATCCATTGACAATACTAGTACTGGAGACGGAATTTTTATTACTTCATCAATGTGTGTTGTAGGTTTGCCTTGACATATGTAGATCATTTTCGCCAAGCAATCATACCAAATAAAATCAGTTCCATTTAATCCTAGACAGTTTCCAGTACCTGTGCAGATATTATTCAGGATTAGTATAGAACTATGAATTTAGAAATAAAACTTTTTTTTAATTACATTCATAATATTATGAATTAATGATTACAAACCTGCTATATTTTTTTGGCCAGGAAACTTGTTTTCCTGGAAATCAGATGTAGTGATTATCTTATCTTCTAATCCTGTCAAATTAAAAATACTTCTTCTGTACCCTGTCCAGTAAGGCTGGTTTATTTCTGGAAAGTTTATGAAAACTTTCAAAAATTGTAGGTGAAGTTCATGTTTAGGTTCAGCTAAATGTCCTTTGGTGGAGTTACAATTCATAAGTGCTTCTGTGAATGTTTGAAGTTCACTGACTAACATGTAACATTCTTCTTGGAATAAAACATAATCTATCGGACAAACCCAATAGTTCTCTTCTTCACATACATATCCCTTTCCTGCAGTTTCATCTGTCAGTATGTCTTCTAGAATCAAAGTCAGATTTGAGTCAAATGTTAAATCATACTTTATAAATCCTATACTGTCAGAAGAACCAATTTCTTTCCAGCCACAGTTCATGGCAGAAAGTATACCCTGGGAGTTGATAGACTGTACATGGTATTTTAACTCAGTGATTCTTCTCATGTTGTAAAATGGGAATGAACCCAAATATTCACCAATGTAATACTCTTCCCCAGCAGTTGGAAATAAATCCCAAATATCATTTGTCAGATAGTAAATATCTTCACACTCATTTATGCTGACTAATCTTGAGTTTTCTGTTGCACAGGAAATCATCGCGCCAAATTTTGATACTCCTGGAACTTTCTTCACTACCTTGATGCATTTCATCATTCTTACTGCCCACCTATACCCAACTCTACATTTAGATTCACAAATATATGGTCTTGCAGAGATCTTCAGTTCTGTCTTATATTTTAAATCCTCTAACAGAGAGATTGTTATGCCATGCTTTTCTTTACATACAGCTTCAGGACAGTCAAAGTTTTCTTCATCATTAACCCAGTCTCCAGAGAGAGGCTGAGAATTAGATATCCAGGTCCACTTATTGTTGTCAACAACGCCTCCAACCCAGAATGTTGTTAAATTAGGTGATACCAATGGATTAAAATAAAACTTTGTGTCAATTAATTGCCTAATGTGTTGGGCTAAATTAACACTAACATTTGTATTTACAACTGAGATCAGATTTCCATTTTCCTCTAAGCATTTGTTGACGGCTGTTTCATAGTCTTCTTTGATTGGTGACACTCTTAAACATATATTACCTACTTTGGCGTAGTTTGGTGAACACTCTGATATTGAATTGTCTGGTTTTAAGTGTTCAGTACAGAATCCAATTTCATCAGTTGATTCATTAAATCTTCTGAAAAAGTCTGACATTGCTGTAGGGCACCAAAATTCAGTGTGTGGTTCAATGATACAGGTTTCCCTCCAAATACCTTTATAAATAAATGGTAAAACACAGTTTTTTCCAGACCCAGGACCTTTGAAAGCTATATTTCTTTCATCTAGGCAAGTGCCCCACTTGTCTTTTAACATAACTCCATTTTTGTCCACTTCTGTTGCACACATGGGTGTAAGATGGTCATCAAAAATACAGGAAGTTTGAAGAACATTGCTATCTGATGCCTTAAATGGAAAAATACAAGAATCTCCTTCAATTGTAGAGAGATTTTTTGCTTCACAAATGTATCCTAAATGTGGGAGTCTTGTATTTTTCTGATCAAAGTACCCATTGCACACACGTAAACTTAAACTTCCATTCTGATCAATCATGATACATTCTTCATCCTGGTTGTTGAATAGCATACCAAGATGTTCTTTCATGAATTGTTCTATCATAAAGGCTCTACTCCCATCTAGATATGTGATGGAAGATGAGGTTCTATTGTACATCACACCAAGGTTATGATACAAAGTTTGATTTCTGTACAATGAAGCAGATTGATTTGATATAAGGTGATTGCGCTCCATATCCAAGAAATTCTGAAATGATTTGAAATCTCTGGGTTGGTATAATCTAGCGCCTACCTTTGCACACTCCTTTTCAGTTTCTTCAGCAGAAGTCCAAATGTCATGGTCGTTTTTAGCAGATATTTTGTAACAAGTTTTCTCTAATTTGTAAAATCCAACTGGGCAGTCTCGAACAAAGCACACACTTGAACAGTATCCCCTTGCTCCATCACTCTCGATATGATTTCTATTTAGATCTATTTTCAAACTACACCAAGGCTCATAACTATCAATAGTTATGCATGAGTCATACATCCTTCCCTTGTATTTAAATGGGAAAGAGCATATTTGAGATTCATTAGTAGTGCATTCTCTGTATTGACAAACTCCTCTGAGAGAAGTTTCTGAATCATTCATAATATTGCAGCTAGTACTGATTACACTTTCTCCAACTTTGAAGCAATCTTTGTCAAAATTTGTCTTGTTTCTGATATTGATAATTTTGTTGAAATCATTTTCAGCGTAGGTCTTAACTTGGTATTGAGAAGTATAAAATTTTTTTTCTTGAATCTCAATCCTTCTCCATCCTAAATATATGTCAATTTATTGATTTTTATCTAAATGAAGTAACACCAAAGTCAGTGATGTGAGAACTAGAGTGCAATGCATTTTGTTGATTTTTAAAACTGTTCCTTCCATTCCATTAGGTAAACTATGGGTTTCCAGTAACAATCATCCTGGGTAACATTTTTACTGACTTTATGTGACGATGGCAAAGTTGGCGGGTAAATAATTCTAGACTTTATATGTCCGCCATATTGGTTTGTCAGAGACTAAATGTTTGCAGAGATTACTAATTGTCAAAAAATCAAAAACAAACTTTTATCTTAACTAAGTCAGAGTCACATTTAAAAAAATTACTGTTTCATTTTTAATTTTTTTAAAACCATCTTTTTCAAAACAATACTTACCTATTAGTGTTTCTATTGGTTTGTTTAACCCTTGACTAGGAAGCCATTGAATAAATGTCTCTAATTCAGAAGCAGACGTAGGTACAAATAAGCTCAGCCCATCTTTGGCACAGTATGCTTCTCCTGCAAGCTCAATCAGATTAATGATAAATAGTAATAAAAGCAGTGATTAGCATTTTTTTATTAATATTTAAAAAAATGGGAATTGCAACTACCCTTACTACCTCAACTACCATCTGTTTTAAGAGAGACCCCACCCACACCCTTGAAGCAAAATCTGAATGGCAACTACCCTTGCTACCTCAACTACTGTCTGTTTTTATAGAGACCCCACCCCCACTCTTGAAGCTGAATATGTATAGGAACTACCCTCACTACCCCAACAGCCAACTACCTTCAGTTTTAAAAGAGACCCCATCCCCACTATGTGATTATTTTTTGCACATGGTATACAATATGGTTATTGATTCTCACTAAATTATTTGTTTTAAGCTTTTTTCTGGCATTCATAACACTCTCCGACCTTTACTAACCTCACCACCCACCTTCTGAAGGGTGCACATTTCATAGTCGAAACAAAAGCATTTTATACATACATCCATGAAAACCCCCCAGTCTGAGGAGAGGTCCATGGTAGATTATCAGTCCAAGGAGAGGTCCATGGTAGCCCCCCCCCCCAGTTTGAGGAGAGGTCCATGGTAAACCCCCAGTTTTAGGAGAGGTCCAGGGCCCTTAAGATTTTCTGTGTAATTCCACTAAGTGTTAAAGAAACCTCTACTTTAACCCACCAAAAGGAGAGAAAGACTAGCACTCAATCTTTGGAATCATTCGCTAACCCTTAGGTGGACAGGTATACTAAACACTTAAACTCCAAGTCTGAACTGGAACCTGATCTAAAGCCTGATCTAGAGCCTGAAACAAAACCTAATTCATAGCCCATTGTTTCTGAGGCTTCTGACAGTAAAAAGATGGAAAGTACTTTGAGTGTTTTACAAAACTAAACTCCTAAGACGAAACTTTGCTTGCATATAATGTTGCAATAGAAATGATGCATATTCGATTGAAAAATAAAATGATAATGTACTGAATAATATATATTGATAAAAATAGTAAAATTGTTATTTTGAAACCTATCATGTAGATGTTGTACAAATCTTAATCAGTAATGTATGCATTTAACTTTTTACTGAATAAAAATATTTCAATCTTAAAGATAAAGATATTGAATACTTAATTAGTGACAGACATAGGCAATATTCCAATATAGGATTTAACCCACAATTAATAGTTTGTTCATTGTACATTAAGTTCAGTTGCTAAAACTTAGTGCTATCTTCTCCAAAATGTTTGCCCTCTATTTACAGCCATCAAGTGTGACCTCTTACCTGAGTGTATGTCAGCATAGCCTCTAATTCCTCCAACATGTTCACCAACTTTAAGGCAAATTTGACCCATGGCTGGAATCCAGGTATATCCTGGTGGACAATTTGGGCCAACAGTACAAAAATGCTGAAAGTTTGCGAGATTAACAAATTTTTAAAAATATATGTTTTCAGTCAAAATATTAAAAATTACCATGAATGATTTGTTGCAGTCAACCACTTTAGGCTCATATTCATGTTCACTATCTCCAATAATACAGTCTCCATCGACAGAACTCTGGTTGAAAGTCAACTCTGTTGGCTCTATCTTTCTTCCATTAGTTTTTACCCAGTGACCATCAATTTTATGTACTCCAATCCAGTAGGATTCAAAACTGTGTTCTTTAGCATAACTTCTGAACAAATTTAGTTTTAAGACATTTAAACATTTTAAAAAGTATCATTTACCTCAAAATTGTATTTTGATAAATATCCAAAGGAGGTGAAACCAGCCCAGAGCTTTTCAAACACGTTTTCTTGGCATCAAAGAATGAAGAAGTTGAGTTTACTACTTGCAAGCATTGCTTGCCAAAGGGTATATTAAGTAAACCTTTTGAACAAACTAAATTGTCAGACATCTCAGTTTCCCTTATCAAAATATCTGTTAGAATTGTAACTAACTATTTCTCAATGTTTTTAACTTACCACTTGTCTCCAGATATGTCACAAAACGAATTGAAGTTCGGAGTTCTATGACAAGACCAAAGTATTTCAGCTGTTTTGTAATACACCTAGTTTATATAATAGTGAATTGAAAAAATATATATCTAATATAATATCTAAGTTGGGTAGACTTTTAACGGGAACAATAGCTAAAATCATTATTTACAAAAAAGGGCTGGTAAATTGTGGGCCGGACTAACTATAACTCCCCTGGGCAACGCTGGGTTCCCAAGCTGCTATATATATATATATATATATACAGTTGTATTATCTGTTTGTTTGTTTGGATGTCTGATCATAACTCAGGAACCCCTGGACTGCTTTGTCTCAAATATTTCCAATTCTTAGCTTGTTTAAAAATTCCAAGTTGAGAGGGTCAACTTTTATTGCAAAAACTCCAGGAAAAGCTTGGCTCCCAAGGAAGCTAGTATATTATAAAATTAATTCTCCCTTTCCTATAAAAACTGATTATGTTTATAACCTTATAACAATTTTATTTTTTAAGTTTTCATTTAATTTTAGAAGTTTAAAATTATATTTAAATATCAATGTTTGGACAACAACTGCTGCAGCTCACTTCACTCCTTTCTTCCTGTCCCTCTTTACTGATATGACCTGGTTAGTGACAGCTGATTGATAAACTTGCATTAACTTTCCTTGTTCAACCAACTCAACTGCACAATTATTTGATGTCTCTGTAAAAACAGAGATTAAACAATTCATTGATTGATTGATTAACGTTTATTTTTATGTACATCTGAAGGTGAGCACTTTAAATGTTTACAATTTATCAAAATTATAAATATCCATAACAACAAAATAAAAATTGTTGTAAAAAAGTTTTTTTGATTGATCTAAAGAAGTACCTTTACATCCTAATACATCCTTAGAGGAAGGAAACTGAAGATTATGACTTGAGACTTCTTCAAAGTTAATGTTAAGCATATTCCCTGTTGTGATATTAACAGCTCTTAAAAGATTTTCAACAGGGTACTGATTCTCCAAAGATTGAAGAATATTGTTTATGTAAACCTAGATCACAAATAAATTTTCTTCAACGGTTTAATAAATAAATTCTGTTTTGGTTGGGTATGAGAAATACATTTTTTATATTTTACCTGTAAAAGACCATCAACACAAGTTAAATACAATTCAAAAATATCTTCATTTTCTAGGCTTTGAGGAATTGTTTGATTCTCATTAGTCAAGTTTTGTTCAATTTTCAAGGAGGTAGAGTTAAAACTTATTGATACTTCAATTTTTGTTTCTAGTAAACTAGTATCTACCAGAAGAAATACTACCCCTGAAAAATATTTATTTATTGTAATGCATTTTGCTGCTTAAAATGATTGTTTTTAATGTGAATATTCTTGTAATATGTTCCTTGTGATTACAGAAATAACTAAGATTTTGAAATTACTTCTTTTGATTTTGATTCAAAAAGTTGAAACCAAGTGCCTTTGATTGAGGAATCTTCAAAGGGCTACAGAAAGTAGATGGAAAAAATTATGAGACCAAGGGCTTAACCTTTCATGTTTCACTGTTAAGCTATGGGTTGAACCAGTTTTGTGCTTTTACAAATGCAGGGGACTAACAGATGGCCTATTTCTAACACTGAGTGTTAGAAATGGGCACAAATTGAAAGACTGGGTTTATCCAGAGTAAAAGTCGTTAATAAAAACTATAATCAACAATTTATTAAACATGACGAGGACAAGAATTCCCAATTTTAAACTTTTTTTCAAAATCAAAATTATAATAGGAGTTCCTTTTATATTACATCTCTTAACCGTTTTCAAGACAAAGTTCGGTTTTCCATTTTTGAACGTATTCTGAATTTTAAACATTGTTGTGTTTTCGAGACAAAACCCGCTTTCCCATTTTTAAGTATAATCCGCAATTGAAATCTATGTTTCCACATTTTATCTGTTAAATTAGAGAATAATGATGATGTATTTTCAAGCATTTTAAACAAACAGTTTCTAGTTAAATCTATATTGTAAGAACAAATGATATTAATATTTTGATATATCAATGCTGAAATGATTTTTATTTTATAACAGAACAGTTAGTTTTTATTTTCTATTTTGTTTATATTTTAATCTTGTTTTGTTACGTAATTGCCTAAACGTAAAATCCAGTAATTGTTTCAAAATAGGGATATGTTCAAAAATAAAATTAAGAATCATCAAAAACTAATTCTCACATCTTATTTTAGTTTAACATAGACATTTATTGTTTCAATATGTAGTTTTAGCCATTTTTTATAAATATATGGTGTAATTTTGTTCTACTTGTCTTGGATTTAAAGATATATACTGTTAAAAAAGGTAACTTCAAAGATTTGGTCCATTTCTAACACTGAGTGTTAGTTTTTGAACTAATATCCCCCGCAATGTGAAAAATAATTACTTAAAGCACTGTTATTTTGGTTCGCAGTGTTATAAAGTCTTTGGACAGAAATTTTCTCTTTATTAAGAATGTTCAAACCTTTATAGATTTAAAATCTAAAAAGGTGAGAACCTTTAAGAAAGAGAGAAAATTTAAGTTCAAAAACTTTATAGAATGTCATGCTAAAATAATAGTGTTATAGGTAATTTTATGAAAGTTTGTGTGCTTGTCTTATTTCAGTGGCTATTTCTAGATCAAATAAACTTTGAAACAAAGCAGAAGTCAAAATATAAAGTTGATTTCAATTTTATTTTCATGTCAATTCAATAACAATATTTTGGAAATATCCTAATTTTTTTGGAGAAAATCCGGGATCCAATCCCAACTTTAGAGCACACGTGCTAACATGTACAGCTAATTTAACTTTATAGCACGATGATTACTTTATAGCTCGTTCATTATGAAATTCACGATGAAGTGAGGAATAGTATAAACCTGGGAAACTCTGGAGTCTGGGTCTTAAACTATAGTTACTGAAAATGGTTCAGTTCAGTAAGTAAGTTAAACTCAATGGGATTTTCCGATAGTTATAAAAGCCTGATTGAGGAAGGAAAGCAAATAATAAACTTCACTTACAAGATTTAGCAGTCTGCATCCCTGAGATTCTGCCAGTGTATCTTAGTCCCCCGGAAGGGCAGACAGATCCTTGGATTTCAAAAAATTGGTTACGGCTCCAGAAAAACTCAAATGTTCTCAGAGGAATATCTGAAAAAGGTATTCAAATAAATACATTCAATAAGTATCCTTATTATTAACTAATGGTCTAAATGGATGAAAAGCCCGTTTCACTGTTGCAAGCTAATCTAAAGTAGCTCGTAGATTTATTATAAGCTAATATTGGCCATTATGCTACAATTATAAACTTAACATTAAATAGCAATAGTAACTTGTTAAATGGAAAGGTCAGATTGAAATATGATTAAAAACAATACAAAAATGTGTTCAAGATAATGTGTTTAGCCTACTTTTAGTCTTCAAAAATCCATTACGAAAGAATCCTTTAGGCACAAATTTAGATGAAATATCTCCTAAAATCTCTAACTTCATCTCAACAATTGGTGCAGACTTGAAAATTTCTATCTTTATACTGAAATAAAAAAAAACATTTTTACTTGATTATGTTTGTTTCTGAAATATAAAAACATTTCATAGACAGGACATTTAAAGATAGAGAAAAGGTATATATATATATCTTTTAAAGTAATCATATTTATACCATGATCTATTTGATTTATAGTTTACATATTATTCATATTTTTACTTTAAGCTGATAATATATGTATCTTGTTGAAAACTTGTTAGTTCAGACAGACAAATTTCAAGACATAAATGCATTTTTCAAAAATATATGCATATCAAACTGATCATTTAAAAAAAATTGTAACACATTATTTTTACTGCCAGAAAACCTTTAATTGTCTCTGAAAATGCTTTTCTGTCTATATAGTAATTGATCTATGAGAAAATTCTATGAAAAGTATGAAATGTTCTATCTATGAAATGTTCTGTCTATGAATTGTTCTCTTTATTAATGTTCTATCTATGAAATGTTCTATCTATAAAATGTTCAAACCAAGAAATGTTCTATCTATGAAGTGTCCTATCTATGAAATGTCCTATCTATGTTCTATCTATAAAATGTTCTAACCATGAAATGTCCTATCTATTAAATGTCCTATCTATGAAATGTTCTATCTATGAAATTTTCTATCTATGAAATGTTCTACCTATGAAATGTCCCATCTATGAAATGTTCTATCTATGAAATGTTCTATCTATGAAATGTTCTATCTATGAATTGTTCTCTTTATTAATGTTCTATCTATGAAATGTTCTATCTATGAAATGTTCTATCTATAAAATGTTCAAACCAAGAAATGGTTCTATCTATGAAGTGTCCTTTCTATGAAATGTTATGAAATGTTCTATCTATGAAATGTTCTATCTATGAAATGTTCTATATATGAAATGTTCAATCTTTGAAATGTTCTATTTATGAAATGTTCTATCTATGAAATGTTCTCTATATGAAATGTTCCATCTATGAAATGTTCTATCTATGAAATGTCTTTCTATGAAATTCCTAATATCACTTACCTGTCTGCTACAACAGGTTGGTTTAAAACTATTTTCTTTGAAATGAATGTATTTAATGTGTTATACTGGCGTAATAATCTAGTCCATATAGATGTTTCAGAAGACTGAATACTGATTCTTAATGAATCAGCCCAGAACTGGCGTAATAGTTTAGTCCATATAGATGTTTAATGAATCAGCCCAGAACTATGAAATGTTCTACATATGAAATGTTCTATCTATGAAATGTTCTATCGATGAAATGTTCTATCTATGAAATGTTCTATCTATGAAATGTTCTATCTATGAAATGTTCTATCTATGAAATGTTGTATCTATGAAATATTCTGTCTATGAAATGTTCCATCTATGAAATGTTCTATCTATGAAATGTTCTATCTATGAAATGTTCTATCTATGAAATGTTCTATATATGAAATGTTCTATCTCTGAAATGTTCTATCTATGAAATGTTCTATCTATGAAATTTTCTATATATGAAATGTTCTATCTATGAAATGTTCTATATATGAAATGTTCTATCTATGAAATGTCTTTCTACGAAATTCCTAATACCACTTACCTTTCTGCTACAACAGGTTGGTTTAAAACTATTTTCTTTGAAATGAATGTATTTAATGTGTTATACTGGCGTAATAATCTAGTCCATATAGATGTTTCAGAAGACTGAATACTGATTCTTAATGAATCAGCCCAGAACTGGCTATCAACAGCAATATACACAGCATCTATCATTGCCATCTTATCAAATTTTAATTCAAACCAAGTTGAATATGAGCCCCTAAACATTGGAAAGTAAGTTGAATAACCATGAATAATAATATTTAAACAAAATACTTGGTGCATTGAATTCTCAAGGGTATTCCTTGATGTTGAGGCAGAATACTTGGGTCAACCTCAATACTCTCAACCTCTTCTTTAATTAGTTTATAATTCAATTTCCCCTTCCCAAATAAAGGCAATTTTCCATGTCCCTGACCAACTGGTTTTTCACAAATACCAAGAGCATCAGGTTTGTTTTTAAGTACTAATCTATTCTGAGACACAACCAAATAATCTGGCCCTGAAGTAAAGAGGAAATTTGAGTTTTCCTAATTTCAACTAATATTGTTCTCTGCCATAAATGATGACAAAAAATATTTCTTTACAAACTATGAAATATATACAGAAACAGAAGTGGGATAAAAAGAATATTAGAATAGTAAAGCTTTAGAAAACATTTCATTTTAACAAAAAAAATATGATATAAAACAAGTTTTGAATGCATTTGGCGCGAGGGAAGGAGTGCAAAGGCGCCATGAGCCCTGCAAAAATTACCTCCGTGCCTCCAGATTTGCAAAATGGCCTACAAGCCTCTGTCATTCTGTCACCACACCCCGCATTTAAGTCTCTTATAAAATTTTTTTTTCACTTCTAAATCCACATAAAACCAATTTTTATTTTTGTTTTTCTAAATTTCTCAAATTTCTTACAATGTGAAGAACTATTGCAGTTTTGTAAAAAGATAGACAACTTTTGTATTATTCCATAGGGGTTTCTTGTACAAATCAAATGATATCACCGGCACTTGTCAAAACACAGTAATTTTTGTGAAATCCTTGAATTTGTGCCTTTATTGCATGCTTTAGAAAACATTAAAGAACTATTTATTTTCAAGTTTAACATTTTTTTTTAATTTTCTAAATATCTATAACATGGTATACTAACAGTACAGGGCAGCATCGTGTCCTGTCCTTAAGTTTTAATAACTTCAATTTACTTATAAATATTTTTTGTCACAGTGATGTGTTACAGGTTGTACAGGTAAGAAAACTACTGAGAATCACAGATGAACAGGGAAGTTACTTTATTTGTTAGAAGATGAATTCGAAGCAGAGCCAATGACAAGAATTGTCATCCCTCCCTTGCACAGATATCAAGCCCTACTTGCAGTACAAGTCTATAGAATGAATTATTATTTAAAATTTGTTGATTAAACAATTCTTTAAACTATTCAGGGGGCTACTTTGAAGAGATATATTCTGATTTTTGGTTGGTAAAGCCATAAAAGGTAAACAAAAAATAAAAATAGTAAGTGGAGATAAAATGCGGGGTGTGTAGACAAAATGGCGGAGGCCTGGAGAAGTAGTGAGAGGCATGGAGACAGTTTCCTGGGCCTGGAGGTCATTCTGCAAATCTGGAGGCTCAGAGTAATTTTTGCGGGTCTCATGGCGCCTCTCCACCTTTCCTTCATGGCACCTCTGCACCCCCTCCCTCATGGCGCATGCTTTCATGATGGATTTTCATAGCTTGCATACTAAAAAGATCTAAACCTGCATTGAAATCCTTCACAGGATCTTCTTCTTGGACTGAACTATCCCATTCACGCGAGGAATCTGAGGTAAAATATCTGTACACTACAATTCTTGGCAGTGTTTATGAAACAACAACAAATTTCAGTTTGAAAAAAATTTGAAAGTATTATTTTTATAACGCCTATTATCCCACAATCATTTTCACTAGATTTTTTTAAAGTTTGCTGTTAACTCTAAGTTTTATAATACACAATGAACACAGCTTTTGTGGCTGTGTGGCGGACAAGTTGTGATGTTAAAGCTGGCTGTTAAGAAACGCAACAGAGGCTGGACTGAAACATGAAATTGAACCTTTAGAATTCAAGTCTTAGTTGCATTCAATATTTATAGTCACAGCATGGTTATCCATTTATAAAAATAAAATGGAACGTTGAAGGAGATGCTGAGAATCTATTATTTGAAAATATATTTGAGACATAAATTCCAAGGAAAACATTGATCAGGCTGAAAACCAAATCAGTATAATAACTTGCCACACATATCTGCAATGATTGAGTGAAATAAGGTGTAAAAAAAAAACAATTTAAAAGTGCCATAATTAGATGTTAATATTTACAGTATAATGGGTAGAATCCAGGTTCAACAGAAAGGTCATTGAATACCAATTGATTATTCACCAGCTTTTCCATAACTCCAGTAAGAATATCTTTCTTATCTCCACTAAACATTAAGGTATACACATGTAGACTTGCATTTTTTTTACCAAAATCATGTTTTGCTCATTTTAATTGATAACAAAGATGATGACATATTTTTGATAATGTATTTCTATTTATCCAAAATTATAATCTTTGATAGCCTACTTGAATATTTTGTTGATCATCTCCATATCACCAACTTTTCTAGGAGCCCATAATGAAGCATTTAGCTGGCTGCATTCTATATCTTGGTCCGCATAGGATCCACTACCAACACTTTTGTAGCAATTTGAGCCATATCTTTCAAATCCAACTTCACAGGCTGTAAAAATATTTTTAAAGGGACTGTGTGATTACACAAACACACCCAAATTTTTTACGCTGAGCAGTTAGGAACCCTAGCTACAAATCCTTAAATTCATACTGCATTGCTGTTTTAACCTTTGCATTTTTATGTTAAAAACAAGATTTTTTTCATTACTTTCAAGTCAATTCTCCGTTCTTTAAAAAACATGGTTTTATTCAATTTTTACCCTACTTTTCCATGGAAGGGGGCGGGGCTTAAGTCCTCCACCTCTGCCTTTCATTCCTTATTCCCTTCTCCCCCCCCCAAACCTTCCATTCCTTCCACCCCCCTCCACAGTATTTTTCTTTCTCCTTTCTCCTTTTCTCTCCCCCCTACTCTCTTTTTTTCATGTACCTTTCATGTACGGTTTTCTTACATTTTCTCTTTCACCTTCTGAACTGCTAGGCGTACAAAATTTGGGTGTGTTTGTGTATTTAGGTATTCAGGTAATTAGGGATTCAAGTAGCGATGCTTTCTAAATACCTGATATATACACAGAAAAGCTGTCTATTCCTCCACATAAGTTACTTGGATCAGATTTGCAAGCTATGTTGCACTGAGCAGAAGAAACGAAGGTGCTGTCTGTGTATAACTGATCTATCTGATAATCTGGTTGACAATAGCAGTTTGTATCTTGAATCAAAGTATAGTGTTTGCCTTGACTTTTACAGTAAACTAGGCATTCAAGATGGGATGAGAGAGTTTGAGGTTCAGGTAATAGTTTGGCTCCTTCTAGAATAGTGATGCATCCAATATATATCGGTTGGTCAACTATGACCTCTGGAGGGGATATTAGGATTAATCCAGCAACATCTGCTTGGGCATTGATTGATATATCCATTGGTAGATTTGTTGCCAGATCCATAATTGAAATAACAAGGGGGACACTTTCAGTTTTTAAAGTCAAGCTAATTTTAACATTTGCTTCATTACTTCCAACTTTTCCATTCACATTTAAAGTTCCTTGAGATGCAACAGAACTATTCAGTCCCATAAATCTAGAAATTTTCAAAGTAATTTTAGCTGATTGCCATAATGTTAAAACTTACCTTATCCAAACTTTAAGAAATGCTTTTGGTTTAAAAGTGTTTATGTAGTCTTGGGATAAGTTCAGATCTTTGGTTGTCAAAGTTGATTTTATCTCATAAGTTTTAATCTTAACAGTATCCATACAGACAGCAGCATGTTCTTGATAGTAACCATCAACTTGGCCCCCAAGTCCCACCAGATCTATAAAAATCAATAGAATGTCTCTAAAAAACATATTCTGGTTTTCTCCATTTTACCATACAACTCTAAACCATAAAAAAAACTAAAATTAAAATCTAGGAAAACAGGACAATTTAACAATTTCAACATTAAACGCTCAATTCAGCTTTAAAAATTCAAATAAGGTTAAAATTTTGTATGCAGTCTCTATCTAAACAGGCCAATAAAAAATTATCATGGAAAATTTGTTGTCCACAAGAGTCAAGGAATCCATTTTTAAAATTCTTATCATAATGCAACTTAAATATTCAGAATAATCAAACTGTTATCATCCTTTTCATTAATACACCATAACAATAATGCAGTAAAAACCAGATTGTTCATTCAATTTAAATACCTTTTTATACTACAGGGTGTCCCACGAAACATGACAATAGGAAGACGACTTGAAAGTCGTCTTTGCTATTTGAATTTATTTGTGACATTTAGTCTTCTATCTACTTTAACATGTATGATTCTTGAAACAATTATCACATAATTCTCCTAGCCCTGGCATTTCCAAAAAGTGGTCTGCGTTTTTTGTGCTTTCAATATTACCTGAGATATAAAGAGTTTGGTTCAGATTTCAATTTTGTTACGTAAAAGCAAAATTGTCGAAATCTGAACGAAATTCTTCATATCTCGGGCAATATTGAAAGCACAAAAAAGGCAGACCACATTTTGGAAATGGCAGGACAAGGGAAATTTTGTGATTATTATCTCTAGAAATTTTACTTCTAAAATTAGGTTGACAAATAAACGCAGCAAATTATATCAAAAATCAAGACGACATTCAAGTCGTCCTACATACTGTCATGTTTCGTGGGACACCCTGTATTTTAGAGACTAACAGAACTTTCATTTTATGCAAAAAACTTCTTTTTACTCTGCAATCCCTTTTCACTAAAAGGTATTTTTTGGTTTTCCAAAATCAGGCAAAAAATTAAAAGTTTAATTTATTTGCCTTTTTCCTTCTCACATATGGAAGCCCATTTTGACTCGCAATTAAAATCAGCCATATCTGGTCTGAAAATAAACAATGTCAAATAGGCCAGGAATGCAATGCAATGCGAGAAATGTTAGAGGTTTTTAATTTCACTAACTTTAGTAGATTGAATTAAAATATTTTAAAGGGAGTGTTCGCGAAAAATGAAAGGGGTATAGACTTTTTATCGCTACTAATCTTACTTCTATCTAGGTTGCGTCTATAAGGAGAAAATTGTTAAAAACGACTAATACCGAAGAACGTAGTGTCCATAAAAATTCAGAAAGATGCAACATTCAACTCGGATCGTAAACAAATCAATTTAATTCCAAACAAATCATTCAGATATTACAAACAATAGTCATTGATTATTTTTCAACGCATTCGTAAATAGTTGATATTTCATAATATTTTGTATTTTTCATGATCTGAGACTTACTTTTGAAAACATTTATTCCTGTTTCGAGGATTTTTGATAATGAAGACGACATTTTCATATTTTCCAGGAATGTTGGAAAATCCAGTGCCAGCGAAAATTATTTTTAAAAAAAACCAAAAATATTATGAAATATTAACTATGTACAAATGCGTTGAAAAATAAAGATATATAATTAAAGATAATTTCAAAAAAAAGTTTTAATTATCATAGGCTTTCCAAAATGTGGACTATCTTGTAACCAAATAAACATGTTTCTTCTGTAAAAAGCATTCATATTACTTCAAACTAAAAAGATGAAGAGTTGCTAACAAGGTGGGTAGTAAAAGGATAATTGGAAGAAGTAATGGGAGAGACATTAAAAAGGAGTTTAATATTTTCGAAAAAGAGCAAGCCTTGAATTGAAATAATAATTTACAAATATAACACAGAGTTTGATATTTTATGACTTACCGATTTCTATAATTTACGATTGCGCAAGCTTCGTTGTTATCATAGTTGTTTGGTTCTTTTGTACTCCAGGGATATTGTCCATTTCCAGCATCTAAGGGAAAGGATTCAAACCCAGCATTCTTAAACCAATACCACTTGTCAGTGTTAATACCATCTCGAAACTCTCTTACAGCCGCGGTCCAAACAGGAGGTTTGTCTTTCAAGAACAGAGAAATATTTCTAGTATCCATAGTAAGTAGACTGGAGCCTCCTTTTATATAGCATTCATGATTTGCTGCTAACCAAATTTGCTGTGCTCCAGAGAAGCTCATACATTTTCCTTCCCATTCGTCCCATCCCTTGGGACATCCTAAACAAACAAACAACATTTTTTTCTGCAATACTTAACTCACCAATGAATTACTTAAATCACTTCCTCAGCATTCATCTATTTGTATACAAGTTTGATGTCTGACTTGTTTACCTCAAATTTTAATTGGGTGATTAGAATCACAGAAATGTTCTTAATTATTATTTTAAAGCAAAGTTGGGTTCTCAAACAAGTAAACCAATTTATTTACTTAACAGGGTAATGGTGTTTAAAAACCTTTGTGTTTAAAATAGGTTAGGTCAGTGGTTTTTAGAAACGATAGTTTTTGAAAAAGTTTTGGCAGTGAAAGTAGCGTGTTTTAAATTTTTACAGTCTTTTTTCAACGATCATTAACAACAACCTTTTATTAACCGACTGTAAAGGACAACCTTTTGTTAAAAATCTTTAACAACCTTTTAAGACAAAATATATTTTTTGGTCCGAAAATCCTTGGATCAGAAATCCCTTATTCCTTAGGGTCAGAAAATGTTTGGGTTATTTCTCTCAATAAAAAAAAAACTATTTAATTAAGACAACATTAATAAACTTATCTTCCTGAGAAAAAAATTGTAATTAATTGTCATAAAACTCAGATCATAAGCAAATTTTTTTCCAAAACAATGGTTTTAAAAACAATTAAAAAAAAATAACTTTTGTTTATTAAAGTTCAAAACGTGTGGTTTGTTTTGAAAAAAGAAAAAACGAATCAAAAAAAACAATGATTTATACAAAGTTTACTGGCTTTCCAGCTTTATTCTCGCCATGTTTTCTGTAATTATATTACCTTGATGATATTACATGCTACTAAATGTTAGAAATATGAATCTTTTTTGTTTTTTCTTTTCTTTGTAGAATTTGGTTTGGATTAAAATAGAATAAAGTTAATTTATTAAATATTTATTTTTCTAATCACTTCATTTAGACCAAATAAGCTATTTTTTTAGACATCTTTTACAGTTATTCAAAAAGAAGTGAAAACAAAACATACATACATACATACAAATTATGTGATTGCATGATTTTAGACAATGGCACTTGTTTACTCAGATGATGTTTGTTTACTATAACACTTTAAAGCAGAAGATTTAAATGCATTCATTTAAAACCCGCTCAAACATCATGAAAGGCCATTTAAATCCAAAATTAAAGATTTATTAAATGAGTATTTACATACCAGGCAAGACATTTTCTAAATATTTGTAATGAATTCTTCCATCATAACTTTTAATAGAACATGTTGAAGTTTCCGTCCAAGGAAGAGTTGGTTGTGTACTCCAATCACCCCCTGGTAGCACATTTGTTTGACTTTCCACACATTCAAGGATAAAGGTTTTATCCCCATTAGCAGTCTTTGTAACCTATAATGTCAAGTGCAGCATTGAAGTTTTGAGAAAAATCTCGTATCTATATATATTCTTTGCTTATCTGTCTGCCCATTTGTATCCAATAAAATTCAAAACAGAAGAACCGATCGGGCCCAAATTTTGTGTGAGACCTCATGTGACCCCGGGGAAGGTTTATGAATTATGAAAATTTCTAAAAATTGTGTTTAAAAGTTTTTTATTTCGGTAAAATTTTGAAAATATTATGAAATTCCCTAACTTTTTTCTTCTCCTTTTATACTGTACAAAGAGAAGATGCTTACAGATGAAGCTACAATTAAAAGTTGAAATAGATATATATAAATTAGTGAAGAGCTTTATTACAAGATAACTACATAAAACGTTCAAATATAGAATCGTGCTCAATTCCCCTTCAAATATTGTACCTGGTGGAAGGGTAAGTGCTTCAGCTTGAAATGGGGGTAGAATATGCAGCGATTGTTTTCTTTTGTAATAGTAAACATATCACACTGAGAACCCAGTAAACAGCGTCTTGAGCAATCCTCAACACCGCCGACATATCTCTCAAGAATTCTTCTCCGGTTAGAATATTCTTTAAAAGTTATGAATATAAACACATTTTTAAGATGTTAATTAAATCAATTTCCTACTTTTTTTGTAGTTAATGCAGCCATCACACTCACAAGTCTTGTCATTTACACACTGTCCAGTTTTGTCACAACAAAAGTTCTTTGAAACAAAAGTAATTTAATTTTCTTGTCCCACTCTTCTGTTACATTTAATCATAATTATAAAAAAACAAGTTTTTAAAAAATGTTTTAATTAATCACCAATCCAAGAGGATCACACTCTGTTGTCCTATTTGTCCCAAGAACTTGCCTTCCACATACCCCAGAAATAGAAACCAGATTTCCTTTAGAAGAATTATATATTCATCAATAAACTACAACACAATAGATTATTAAAACAAACCCGGGGCCAAATTTAATGAATTTGAGCTGCGGCTTAAATTTGAGACACAGCACAAATATGGTTGGTTTTACTTAAAATTATATTCAATATTTCAAGTTTTAAGCCGGCGCTCAATTGAAACCGGTTTTGGGTGGATTTGAGATGCGGCTCAAATTTATTAAATTCAGACTCCATTATAAAATTGAAATAGCTCCAAGCCGAAACTTTCATGTAAAATGCATTAAGGTCTTGAAGAAATAAATTTTTTCATTCATGATTACTGAGACTAATCTTAGTAAACACAGTAGAAGATTGAAAAATAAAAATAAAAATAGTATAAGGAAAAACAAGTATTAGGAAAATTATTTTATGAGGATAGAAAGCTAGATAAACTTAATACAAAATTAGTCATGATTTCTTACCATTTTCTTTTGTTTCCAGATAACTAATTTCCCCAGAATCAAGGGCAGTGTTTGGAATTCTGAATAAAGTGTAAATAATAAAGGGAGTGTTTGTGAAAAATGAAAGGTTGTATAGCCAACGTCATTTTCGTATTTCGCATTTTCACGAAAATTTTTTTTGCAATATTTCGCTTTGTTTACGCTTAATTTACTTTCGCGAAAAAGTTTGCATAATGCGAACGAAAATTTTCGCATTTTTTCACAAAACGTTTCGTTCGCTGAAAACCCTATGCACAAGTCGCACATATCTCACTTTAGGCGTAACTAAATTTATCATATTGACCTAAAAGCCAAAAATCACATTTAGATAATCAATTTGTTACCCGACTAAATTGATATATGAACTAGTGTGTTTTATTGAACTGTTACATCACTTTATCTATCCTTTTCCTATTCCCTGATCCTTTCCCATCAACGGCTTTGGGAGTACTGGGTTTGTTTATATTACTCCCAGAGTGTACAGTACATAATATGCATATATATATATATATATGATTCCTGCATATAGTTCCTTGGACCTGTCTTGGAAATTGAGGCATTTTATCATAATACAGGGTTACCCACAAAGGATGAGACAGTACAGACGACCCAAATCTCTAAAATATGACGAATTAAAGTTTAGTTTTTGGTTTCTGTATTCAATTGAGTATTTTGATGGTTTACTAATTGATTAAGCACAGAAAAAAACCGGATTTGACCTACAAGGAACCCTGAATGCAAGAAAACAGATTAAACAAATTCTGTACAATCATCTCTGAAGTTTCATCCTTTGTGGGTAACCCTTTACATACTGAGAGTTGTGGATGAAGACAATGTAAGTACACTTTTACCAGTTCATATATAATATACAAATAATATACAGTGATACAGTGTACACGAGGGAGGGGTGCAGAAGCCCCATGAGCCCTGAAAAAATACTTCTGAGCCTCCAGATTTTCAGAATGACCTCCAGGCCCCGCGCAAACCGTCTCTGTGCATTTCGCTATGTCTCCTAGCCTTCGCCATTTTGCCTCCACGACATGATCTCCACTTGCTGTTTCTATTTTTTGTTTACCTTTTATTACATAATAAACCATGAAAATCAAAATATTAATTCTTCATAGAAGACTCTGCAATATATTGCAATATTTCAAACAATATTTCAATTGACAAATCAAAAATAATAATTTATAAACGACTGTAATATCACAAGTAATAGCACAAATTTTAGCATTTTACAAAAACTGCTGTGTTTTGTGAATTGGCACTGATATCCTTTGATTCGTACATGAAACCTCTGTAAAATATTATGATATTTGTCTAACTTTATATCTTCACAATTTAAGGAATTTTGGAAATTTAGAACAACAAAAATAAGACCTTTAATCTCAATTAAAATGAAATATTTGTAATAAAAAATGTTAATGTATCATTATAAAATATTTTTTGGTGTTGAGATTTTTTGGAAAAAGGTTTTTGGTGATCGTAAAGGCCAAATATTTTTTTATTGGAGACCAAAATGCGGGGCATTGAGACAAAATGGCGGAGACTTGGAGATGTAGTGAGAAGCATGGAGACGGTTTTGTGGAGCCTACAGGTCATTCTGCTGCAAATCTGGAGGCTCAGAGGTCATTTTTGCGTGGCTCATGGCGCCTCTGTACCCCCTTCCCTAGTGTACACTGTAAACTATAAATGTTAAGGTAACATAAAAAAGTCTACACATATTACCCTGTCCATTTCGCAATGCATTTCCTATGATCTGGTGTCTGAGTCCTGGCTCCATAACCAAGACTCCCAGATTCAAGTTTATGGAACAATGAGCCACTAACAACCTCTTCATATTCTTTCCAGTTCATCTCTTGGTAATCATCATCAAGAGTTCTAATCAGCAGATTGTTATTAACTTTGAAATTTATATCTACCTAAATTTGAATTGTAATTTTTGTAAGTTAGAGAGGGGTATAATTTTCGTAAAAAAGCTGAAGTTTTGAGAACAAGCTAAATTTTTTGTTAATGATGGTGTCTTTCAGAAACAAGGAATTACTGAGAATGATTTTACTGAACGATCGTTTAGTGAGAAAACAAACAAAATAGATTGAAATGAATGTTAAATTTGATAACAAAGGAAATCAATGTGCTTTGAACGACTGAAAAAATGCAATAGGTCGTTCACAAAAAACGACACTCCCGCTTCGAGGTAAATAAGAAGAAATAAACTGTGTACTGAACTATAATACTACATATGTTCAGAGCTCGTTCTCTCTATAAATAGTGGTCGTGTAGTTCACGACTTTGGGGGACGATATGTTGGCTGCTAGATGACTCATGCTAAATAATTATCTGATAGATAGATAATTTCTCCGTACACTTGACGACCAATATAGGAGACGTCAAGTTGTCGACCAATGTAGTCTATGGAAGGAACGGCCTTAGTTAAAGTTTAGCACTTAATCGTCTACACAGTCTGCATATAGATAGAACTATAATATAGCTGACCTGTCTGATCTTCCAAACTCTAGCGGAGAGAAATGAAATCTTCCCGCATGAACCCAGCCATGGCTGAGTACTAGGAACAGCAGTATCACAATTTTCATTCTAATTCTGAGTTAGTTAAAGAGGCTGGAGTCGTAATTTCATGTAAGGTTTCCAGCTTGCAAAAAATTCCCCATTTTGTGTGGAATCAGACAAGGACGGTTTCATTTAAACAATAATTTTATTTATTTGTGTAAATAAATAATAAAGTTTACTTGGAAGTGACAACATTGTAAAAATAAACATATAATATATCCTCCTCAAAAAATACATCCATGATAACCCAAGTTTCGGTATATCAGGAATATGCGCAGTAATCAAACATATAATCAAGTTTTTATCGACCACTGAAACTTTGTGATGTAAATATTGCTCAATGCTCTGATTAAACAGGTCATCTATTACCACTGGTTGGTCAACCTTGGAAGAATGGCGATGCACCCAAAGAGGCTTCCCTCAATCTCGGATATCAGTGTTTTAACTGCCTGTACTTCAAGCGGCCCAAGAAGACTAAATTATTGTAGATTGGAATAAAGAAGGATATATTATTCCCCCCCCCCCCTATCATATATCCAGAAGCCGCCCTTGATTCCTAGAAATTACGTGAAAACATTTTGTGTTCCTAAATATTTAAACTTGCAATGCAGTTTCAATTGCACCCTGTGACTGACGGGTTCCGACTGGAACAGCAGAGAGCCTGCCTATACGCGCATTTTTACAAGGTTTTTGCCATGGGCATGATTATTTTGATCAAGTGTTTTAGAAAGAATGATCATTTCATGGTTCTTAAATGATAACAAATGTAAATTTTGATATCATTTGTCAATCACAGAAGAGGTTTCTAAATGATTTACTGGTTTAAATAATTACCTTAGTAGTATTTAAAGCATGGTTTAGCATTTAGAATATGACCAGATACTAAAACCCCTCAACCCTTTGTCTGAATATAAGCTGATTAGAGAACCTGGAGAATAGAAACAGTGCACCCAGGATCCTTGACCAGTTCGGTTCGGACTAGGGTTTCCACGAAATGACTAAATCTTTTGCGCAAAATTTGCGCGAAACCGCAAGTTTTACGCAAATGTAACTTGTCAGGCAAATTGTCAAAAATTAATATTCTAAGCTTAGAATTAAACAACTGAAGATTTATTCCATACATAAAAAAAATATTAACATACGAGTATGATAACGATTAAACTACACTCAATTGGTTACTTCCAGTTACAAAAAGTTTAAATTAAGGGACCAAAATTAATATAATAGAAATTAGAGATTGTGAAACTTGGCAATATTTTAATCCTATTAAATAATTTCAAGTGACCCTTGAAAGCTTTGCCTAATCAAGTATGAATTATATTCTTAATTTTTTTAATCAAATTCTGAAATATTTTTCATCTCATATAAAATAATGCAAGAAAGTAACCAATGCCTGAAGAATCTACTTTTAGGAAATATGCATGTCCAAAACTGAAATTGTCGAGAAAATTGTGAGATTTGAATTGAACTCTTCTTAACTGTCATTGGTCAATTATGTAAAAGTGACCAATAGGAAGATATTCCAAAACAAGATTTTTCGAGAATAACACACACCGTCACCAACCGTTTGATATTTACGAAATTGCGGAATTGCGCAAAACTCTAGTTGCGGAATTGTGCAAAACTTGAGTTTCGCAAAAGCAGAATAGGGCAATTTGGCGCGAAATGACTTTTGCGAATGATTGCGCAAATTGTTGTTTTTCCGCGTAAAACTGATGCGCAAATGAAAAAAATTTTGCGTTTCGTTTCGCAAAAATTGCGCAAAAGTTTTGCGAATGGAAACCCTAGTTCGGACGTAGAAGAGAATCTTCCGTATTTACAACCAAGACTTGGGGACCTGCACAATTGGACTTTTATCAGGCTGATATATCTTACGATATATACCAAAGAACTAAGGAGTACACTCAGGCGCGCAACTAGACATTTGGTTAGGGGGGGGGCTAGGGGGAAATATTTCGCGCGAAGCGCGAAAATTTTTTTGGCCCATCCTAAACATTTTTAGGGGGGGGCAAGAAAAATGTGTGTTATACTTAAACAATAAAAAACTAACTCTGCCAACCGGATATTCAGTAAGTCAACACATCTGATATGAAATAAAAAAAGAAATCTATTCTGGTACAGGGTGTCTCAAAAAACATGGGAATGCAGTGACGAATTCGATATCGTCTTTGTTATGAATTAGCATTGTAATCCTAATTTCAAAAGCCATAATATTATTATGTCTCCTATAGTTTATTTTATGAAAAGGGTAAAACACTGCAAAGATGTGTTTATAATGTCTATATTGAATTCGTCACTGAATTCCCATGTTTATTGGGACACCCTGTATAAATCACAAAAATAATTAATTTACAATTTTTACATATATATATATATAAATTTTCATTAGTTATATAAATCAAATATGTACATTGTACTCAGAAACTGACAAGAAATGCCTTTCATTAAAAATTCATGTTTTTACATGAAAAATATTTTTTTTTTTAATATGACACATCATACATTATTTGCGGTGAACATGTAGGATTAATTTAATAGTTGTACTACAGTATTAAAGCAATATCATTTAATAAGTGGCAGAACTGATAGTGAAAATATCTAAAAAATACTTAATAAACCCCATTTCCCTTTCCCAGGAAAAAACAGCATAATGAAAAAAACAAAGACTAAGGCACCTTGGAATCTTGTCAACCTGTTCTGATCTACAGCAGTAGTTAGTCTCGGAGACGAAGGGGGTCTGTGTGTGTGTATATAATTAAGTGCTATATCGATTGAACTATAAGCTCAATAAACTAAAGTTCAATTATCTTTTTTTTATTTTACGATAAGAGCTCTTAAATTTGCTCAGGGTCAGGATTCATGAATCGCTAAATTGCAAAACAGGGTGGACTTCGTCACTTCTTGCCCCCCCCCCCCCTACAGGGGGGGCAAGAGTTCTTAAGGGAGGGGCATGCCCCCCCTAATCAGGCTAGGGGGGGCCTGGTCCCCCTGGCCCCCCCTAGTTGCGCGCCTGAGTACACTGCCCTCCTTCCTTATCATTATATTGGAATATACACCCTCGAAGTCCTCAACATCACTGAAGAGTGAGGATATCAGAGGACTCTCTTTATTCTACAGTTGGAGCTATAAACAGAGTTACTGGGGCCTTGGAGCAGCTAAGTTGTTCATAAGCAGAAGCTCTATGATCTTGATTTGGTTCATATAATAAGGACACTCGAGACACAGAGCAGCCAGGATCTCCAGGACATGCAGAAGCTCCATCTTCTCTCAATGGAGACACCCAAGATATGGAGGAGCCAGATGAAGCTCTAGATTCTCGAGATGGTGCATGTAATAGGAACACTCAAGATACAGAGCAGCCATGATCTCTAGGATATCCAGGACAAATAGGAACTCCAGGACATGTAGAAGCACCATCTTCTCTCAATGGAGACATTAAGATATAGGGCAGCTTGAATACCTATATATACCAAGGACTCGTCAAGAGATTCCACCATACTCATCTGTAGATCTCATCAAGAGATTCCACCATACTCATCTGCAGATCTCATCAAGAGATTCCACCATACTCATCTGTAGATATCATCAAGGATTCCACCATACTCATCTGTAGATCTCATCATGAGATTCCACCATACTCATCTGTAGAGTTCATCAAGGATTCCACAATACTCCTCTGTAGATATTATCATGAGATTCCACCATACTCATCTGTAGATATCATCAAGGATTCCACCATACTCATCTGTAGATCTCATCACGAGATTCCACCATACTCATCTGTAGATATCATCATGAGATTCCACCATACTCATCTGTAGATATCATCAAGGATTCCACCATACTCATCTGTAGATCTCATCATGAGATTCCACCATACTCATCTGTAGATCTCATCACGAGATTCCACCATACTCATCTGTAGATCTCATCATGAGATTCCACCATACTCATCTGTAGATATCACCAAGGATTCCACCATACTCATCTGTAGAGCTCATCAAGGATTCCACCATACTCATCTGTAGATCTCATCACGAGATTCCACCATACTCATCTGTAGATCTCATCATGAGATTCCACCATACTCATCGGTAGATCTCATCATGAGATTCCACCATACTCATCTGTAGATCTCATCAAGGGATTCATGGATTCATATTCTGTAGCTTCTAGAACTGCACAAATTGCTCTCGTACCAGCCCGTCTGAATTACCCACTGGAATATCCTGGATACAGAGGAGAACTAGGATATTCAAACCTGATACTGGGGACGCTGATTTTTACAGACAGCACTCCATATACCCATCATAGAAGAATAAGATAACCTTGTGACAAGAGACGCTGCTTGGTGTGGAACAGCTCTTCTGATGATAACAATTATGACAACGATGATGATAACCATGAGGTAACAAGGACAACAACAATGATGATAACAATGAGGATAACAATGAGAATAAAAATGATGATAACAATGATGATAACAATTGTTATAAAAATGATGATAACAATGATGATGACAATGATGATAACAATTATGATAACAATGACGATAACAATGATGATAACAATGATGATAACAATGGAGATAACAATGGTGATAACAAGGATGATAATAATGATGATAACAATGATGATAACATAGCAAAGACTCTAGAAGCAGCTCGAACTCTGAGTAAGGCTAACATAGAATAGACTCTGGAAATAGCTCTGGGAGCACCTCAACTGTAAGTACAGTTAACATATAGACAACTCTAGAAGCAGCTCCGGTAATAAAAGAAGCAGCTGGGAATTTAGTGGAAGCAGCCTAAATTGTAAGAGCAGCTAAATTAGCAGAGGCTCTGGAAGCAGCTAGAGTAGCAGCTCAGATTGAAGTGTAAGAGATACTGAACTGGAGCAGCTAAAGGAGATATCAAGTTGTGGAAGCTACCGAGATAAATACTGAACTGGAGCAGCTAAACGAGATATCGAGTTGGAGTAACTTCCTAGATAGATACTGAACTGGAGCAGCTAAACGGGATATCGAGTTGGAGAAACTTCCTAGATAGACACTGAACTGGAGAAGCTAAACGAGATAGAGTAATAAAGGAAGCTACTCGGACAGATCCTGAACCGTAGCAGTTGAATATCTAAAAAGAACTTATTAAACATGAATAAACGTTACAGATGTATTTAATAAATAAACTATGAAACTAATCAATCCCAATTCATTTATACTCTGAGAGATATGTATAAAGAGGTTATTAAAGGGATTGATACCAAAACGAGAGTACGGGGATCTAGAGTGAAATATTTGCATAAGCCCTGAACCATGGGTGCAATTAATTGATCTCGAAAATCCCTAGGATTTACATCTGGCTTGTAATTGAAGATAATATTCAATGTAACACCTCCTTGTTAAATAGATTTGAAAGGAAATTTGTAGGAAAAAACCTTACCAATAATAATCGGAACTGAAGCAATGTATGTACAGGGTGTTCCAAAAAATATGGGAATTCAGTGACGAATTCGATATCGTCTTTTTAAATAATTCTTTGATTTAGTATAGTGATACCTACTGAGAAAGCTGTAATCTGTAAGAGTTTCGTCTGCTATGCTCACATTTTGCAAGGAGAATTGAATAGAAGGAGGGGGCGATAGGGTTTCCGTACACTTTGCTGTGACAATTTTTGGACTGCTGAAGAATGCGTATTTCCTACAGATAGCAGAAAGGGGAGAAAGGCATATAGAAAGTAATCAATTTGCTATAGATGTCTCTTTGTGCACATTTTTTCAGAGGTTCAAAAATTAGTTGTCTGATAAAAGCAATTTAGGAAGGAGGTTTCTACCTGCCTGCATATCTATATATATATTATCGTTGATTCGATTGTACTTAGTAAAACAAGAGAATTACAGTATACAAACAGAGTAAACTTGTCCGTCTTCACTGTTCATCTTGCGGAGACATAATAGACACATCTTTACAGTCTTTTACCCTATTCATAAAATAACTTCTAGCAGACATGATAATATTATGGCTTTTGAAATTAGGTAATACAATGCTAATTCGCAACAAAGACACCCTGTAGTAAAGCAAATAAAGTATGAAAATTTTAAGAACAATTTTCCCTTTTGAAACATTTTTTTATTTCCCTACATTGTATTTTTTTGTGTACTCATCACCCCAAATGAGAAAATAATCAATAAAATTTACAAAAAATTGGACGGTCACTACACTTGCAACTGTAAGGCCCAACTAGCTATATTCTTTTTATTTCATAGATTCTTTCATATTTTTAAGTATTATAAATTAGATTTTATCATTATGAATAATAGATTAGATTTTTATAAAACAAAATCCAAATTTAATGTAACGTAGGGATGGATTGTTACCACTTTTTTGGAAACGATCGAAATTACATTTTTGGGTCAGAAAATCCGAGGTCAGAAAACATTTAGGTTATTTGTCTCGATAAAAAAATTCAAGACAACATGTATAACCTTGTCTTCCTGAAAATTTTTTTTTAAATTAATTGTCACAAAACTCAAATTCTTATGCAATTCTTTTTATAACGATCGTTTTTCGATTAAAAAAAAATGTTTTGAAAGTTCCAAAACAGTGGTTTGTTTTCAAAACTGATCATTTTTTTTTTAATGAAAACGAAACGAAAAAAGCATTCGTTCTTTTGATCGTTTTAAATCCGATTATCAACCCTAAATGAAAATTAATCATAAATTATTCAACTATAGTTTGTTTAATAATCAATAATCCGTTCAATTCAGACCAAAATATGAAATGCATAATTTTGCAAAAAAAAAACAT